GTGAAAAGTGCTGACCCCTTGGGAGACGCAGTTTCTTCTCCTGCCAGAGATGGTGCCAGCCACACCTCATCTGGTTTAGTTCTCTGCCTGGGCTGGGGGTTTCTAGCCACCTAGCACTGTGTGGAGCATCTGTGTTTCTGTTGGACCGTACTCGTCCGGTTGGTCTTCATTCCGTGGTGCCGAGCTCCCTGTCCCTGCCTGTCAGCGGCCACAGAGAGAGCAGGAAGGGAGGAGGCCTTGAACGTGGCCCCATGGGAAAGAGCCAGGCTTTCCAGCCCTAGCCAGTGCTGGCTGTCTGTGGACTGCAGACCTCCCTGTAGACAAGGGGACACGGGAGGGTGCTTGAAGGCTGTCTGTCCCCCAGACTGTGTTGTTTGGAAGTGAGCCACTGAGTCCAGCACATCCTGGAAAATGGGGTGCAGTGGGGCTGAGGCCCACCTGCCGCAGGGGCTCAGTCTACACGGTGCGCGGGGACACAGCCTTGCTGTGTCGATTTTCTCTCAGGTCTGTAAATCCACTTCCAGTCAACTTTAGATGATGGTTACGAATTTCTTCTACTCAGATGCAAGAAAGATCACAAAACTAAGGATATTCTTTTCTAGTTGTACTGATATCTAGCAGTGGATGCTGCCACCTGCACCACCCTGAACAAATCGGAGCCGGAGAGGTGCATCCTGGTGTCGGCACCAAGCACCCTTCAAGGCCCCTCTGCCATGAGAGGCCATGTGCCCAGCGCAGAGCTTGCCACCCCAGCGTTTCCTCTGCTCTCTCCCGGCTTGTACTTTCAGTGACCTCTTGTAACGCAATCATTTAATATCCCTTCTTTTGCTGGCCATGCAGGTTAATTCATCACCGAGCCCTACAGATTTATGGTTCTTTCCGCCCGGCCCTCACCTGGGGCCGCTCCAGCAGAGCCTTCTCACCTGGGTCCGCAGGTTGAGTCCGGAGCCCCCTGTAAACCCAGCCCCACTCCTTTCTCTCCAACACCGCCCTCACTGTCCTGTGGCCTAGGCTCTTGAGACCTGTTAGCTCTCTGCACCGCAGCCGGGCTGAGCTGGCAGTGGCCAGCAAGGAGCAGAAGGGCAAGGAGCGGCTGTGGAGGCCACGCCTAGCGGCTGCTTCCTGGGCAGCTCAGGCTCCGCTGCACCTTGCTGGTCTTGGAAAAACAAACAGCACCTCCTCTAAGGGCTGCAGAGGCGAGTCTGGGGTGAGGTCACCCCTGCACCACGTTAAATCAGTGGGGCGTGGGGCGCGGCTGCCTCTGCGGCGGCCTGTGGACCGCTGCCCCCTCCAAGAGGGGCCGGAGTTCACTTCCCGACAAAGCAGGCCGGGGTCTGCATTCAGCCGCCTGCCGGTGGCTAGTGCACCACAGCTGGCACCCACAACTCAGAGGCCGGTGGCTTCAGCCCATGCATGGCCGGCTGGCTCCGAGAGGGGACAGTGGCTCCGCCCAGGCAGCCAGGAAGCAGGGAGCCAAGGGAGGAGCCGGGGCTAGAACCTTGTAATCGGGGGTTCGGGGCTAGAACCTTGTAATCGGGGGTTCGGACTGGGGTCTTGATTGGCTGTGTCCGCATGCAAATGAAGGCTGGAAAGAGACCTTCTGATTGGTCCTGGAACAAGGCCATATTCAAAAGCAGGGTTGGAAATAGCAGTTTCCTATGGATTCACGGCAATGGTGATGAGAGCGATGGTGGCTTCACCGTAATGAGCTGCCCCTCACCCTGTTGCCCGGCTTAGATCCATTCGTCTGAGCCCAACAGTGGCCCTGGTTCCTGCTGGGCCCGCACTTTTTCCCGCGCAGCAGCAGCCTGGGTGGGACTGCAAGTCGTGACCCTCCTGCCTGTTGCCACCTCCACCCCCAGCACCTCTGTTCCCAGCTCCTCAGCCTTTGCTTTGCCAGGAAGCTCAGCAGAGCCCTCAGCGAGTCAGCGTCTGCAGACAGCCCCGTGCTGCAGGCGGAGTTAGGTGTGCAACGCCCAAGGTTTGCTGGTCAGTTTGCACACGCGGCCACCACACGCGGCGAGGATGCAGCCACCTGTGAGGGGCTCGGCCCCCAAATGACCCACACCACAGGCCAGGCCAGCCCTGTGCCGCGCCTTCCTCCCTCCCCTCCCTGCGTCTTTCCCTTCCCCTCCTTCCCTCCCTCTTTTCCTCCCTCCCTTCCCCTCTCACTTTCTTCCTTTAGTGCTGGAGCTTGATCCCAGGGCCTTCACCCTGAGCTACTTTGTAAATTGTGAGAACAGGTCTCACTAAGTCACTGGGATTCACCGGCCTCGGCCTCAGAGCTGGGGACTACAGGTGTGTGTCACCTCCCAGGATGGTGAGGCGCTCAGCATGTGAGCGGTCCTCCCGGGGAGGGGACGAGGACAGCCACCAGCAGTGGCCTTGTGTGTTGGGGTCAGGGCTCCTCCCAGCCTCTGCAGTTCTTGCCCCAGTGTGCTTCATTTCAGTTTGGCTGAGCAGAAAAACGAATGCTTCCCTGGCTGGAGTTTGGAAGGGAGATTTATTTTGGCGGACATGCACATAATTAAAGCAGCCACAACAGGAAGTACGCGTGGGACACCCGGACTCTGGACAGTTCAGAGCCCAGGCGGCCCTGCCGTAGCAACAGCGGACGTGACAGCAAATTAAATGTACAGCAGAGCGCCCCGAGTGGGCTGTGGATGCAGTGGGTATGAGGTGTGGGTGCCTTTCTCGGACACAATTGTGCATGTTTAAGTCATCCGAAGGTGAGAACACCCAGGTGTGAAAACCAGGAACTTCTGGGTCTGAACGAGGTGGCCTCGACTCCTCCCAGAGGACAGAGACGAGGGTGCCCCACGCAGGTGGGGTCACCAAGGTCGCCTCAAGGTGAGGATCTCAGGGCAGCATTGAAGTGACCAGGAGCCGCGGTGACAGCCTGCCTGGGAGCCCCCAGGTCCCTCCGTCTCTCCAGCTCGGCGTGGCTCCTGGTGTCCTCAGCAGTCGCCCCAGGCTGCAGGGAGCCCACACCTTGAGCATATCCCGTGCGCCTTGGAAATATTCTCACTGCTGCCTGCGAGAGGCACTGGTGCTGGGGATGCTCCCGGGCCCTGGTCCCTGTGTGGAGATGGGTGATGGTGGAGTGGTAAGATTTAGGGACCAGAAAGAGCTGGTGAACCTCAAGTTCCCACTCGTGTGGCACAGGCTGGCGGGCCAGGCCCCGCTGCAGCGAACATCCTCCAGCTGTTCCTCCTCTCCTCCCTCCCACACGCTCTAGCACGCCTTTCGCGCTGTGTCACCTGGGGTGACACTCGATTCCTCTGCTTGATAGAGAGCACTCACCTGTGGGACCTACGGATCACACACGCTGTGGGGAGTAGGTGGAGGCGCACGGCACATCTTCAGTCTTTTTGTTCGCCTTTCCCTCCTCCATCTTTTCCATTTCCTCAAGATCTGTCTCCCTATTTCCTATTGTCTGTCTTTCTTTTAGCTATTAACTCACTTATACTTTGGGTTTGTCATAGGAGAGAAACCATGTGCTATTTAAACTTGTCTCTGTCTGATTTGTGGCATTTAACATTGTGATCTCAAGGTGCATCGCTGTTCCTACAAATGGCCCAACTTTATCCTTCTTGATGGCAGAGTTGTGCTCTGCCGTGGATAAAAACCACATTTTCCTTACCCACTCCTCTGCTCATAGATGCGTAAGTGGCTTCCAAGATTTAGCTGCACAAGTTGTGCCATTGCGAACATGGCTGTGCACTTGCAAGTGAGAGTCAAGGCCTGGGGCTTGGGATGTTTCCCAAGATGAGTGGCTGGTGATGCTGGAGGAAGGGCTCAGCTCCTCGTGCATCCCCACCAGGGGCAGGGAGGCTGGGCCGGAGCCAAGTCCTCTGCAGACTTCCGTGCTGTGACACTGACTGCCAGTGTCAACATGAGTAAGAAACGCCCGTCAGCATAGCTCCCGCATGGCGGAGAGATTCCTTGGAGACAGTTTTGCTCCACCCCAGGGAGGCTTGTCACCCATGTGGAATAAAGGGACACGAAGAAGGAAGGCTGCTTCTCTTCTCTGGGAGCTCCCATCTTCACCTGCACTCGGACGTCATCATCTCCTGACCTCTGGCACAGACCGGTCACCCTCCAGCGCAGACCCTTGGCCTCCTGATACAGACTCACAGACACTACAGGGAGCTCAGGGCCTCCAACTGGACCCCTCAGTTCCCCGGTGCAGACGGAGTCTCTGCACTCTCTTCGCTCAACTCTGTGGGTGGCCACTGTAAGCCAGTCTTGTAAATTCTTTCACATTTGTTTATAGGGCATTGCATCTGTTTCTCCAGTACAGACTCACAGACACTACAGGGAGCTCAGGGCCTCCAACTGGACCCCTCAGTTCCCCGGTGCACACGGAGTCTGCACTCTCTTCGCTCAACTCTGTGGGTGGCCACTGTAAGCCAGTCCTGTAAATTCTTTCACATTTGTTTATCGGGCATTGCATCTGTTTCTCCAAAAAGCACTGACTGATACACTTGGGAAATGTGTCTATTTTCTTATGCTGCACTACAGCAGCCCCAGGTGACAGAGGGCTGGCTGGGAAGATGGGGACGGGACACAGGGAGGGGACATTTGGCCCAGTTGGGAGCAGGTGATCTTCAATTACTTTGGATTGTTTTCAATAACTTGGTGATTCTTTCCTCAGGGAAATTGAACAATGTCCAGATCTCTGATTTATGGAACTGCCTGTGATGAGATTTGATCACATTTTTCAGTAAAATGGGAAGTCAGGGGTGCTGGAGGCCTTTGGGGGAGCAGGTGAAGGCCACTGTGTGAGAAACGTGTCCTGAACTGCAGCTCACGGCCACTTCGGGAGGTGTCCCATCCCTTCCATGCATGGCCACCACAGGCTCCTCATGCCCTCCCCGCCCTGTACTCCAGCCTGGGGACTTCAGGTCCTGTCCCCTTCACCTCAGAACCGCAGCATAACCAATTTCTTTCCTTAAATCTTGGGGAAGATGTTACGCATTGTGCCGTAAGCTGGGGTCCGTCAGCATCTCTGAAGCACACCGGAGTCCTGAGGACTCAGGCAGGTGTGCGGTTGAATGAGTGGGTGTCAGCGCCTCAGGACGTGGTCAATGGGCACCCTGGGGTGGTGGGATAGAGGGAAGGCGAAGTGGGGCAAGAAGGGTTCCTGGGCTGGACAATCCCAAGCTGGGCTTGGGAAGGAACAGGGGAGAAGCCCCGGAGCTCAGAGGGTGGCTCACAGCAGAGAGGGGGACAAGCTGTGCCCCTGAAGGGAGGGCCTGGCTCCAGCTAAGGCCAGGTCTATGGATCAGCACCCCAGGGGGTGAGCAGCAGGAGGAGGCTGGGCCTGCGGAGCCCTCTGGAGAGCCGCTCTGCCCATCTCTCCTGTCATGAGTGCGACAGGGTGATCCTCAGTTCCTCTCGTATTTCTCTTTGGAGACCATCACTCTGCCTTATCATCGTTTACATCAAGTCCACATGTGCAACCTGGGTCCCAGCATCACATCACACGTGACAGCCCCTCTGGGAGGCAGTGGACACTGGCTGCTTGTGGCAGAGGCCGTGGGTGCCCAGTGCCTTCTTCAAGAAGTGAGCTGCCTCTGGTGCTATCCTTGCCATGGTGGCAGTAGCTGTGGGACCGACCCTTCTTCATCTCTGCCGAGACAGGAAGGGCTGGGCTCTGCAGTCGGCTGGTTCTTGCAGTCTCCCCCATGAAGGGGACTCTTCAGGCATCTCGCAGAGATTAACTTCCAAGGTAATAAAGCAACTGCATTTAATCATTTTCCTAATTAATGCATTTATTGCAGCTCCTCGCTGCTTTTTGAGCTGAACATAATGAAGGAAAAGGAAGTGTGCGAGGCAGGAATCCCACATTCTCACCTAAAGGTTAATTAACCTGGAGATTATCTGGGAGACGGCTCCCACCCGGGCCCAGAGAAGGACAAACAAAGGCGCCACCACATGTGTGCTGTGCCGGGTGGGGGGGTAGGCAAGGTCACCCAAGTGAGGTCTGGAGCCTTTGACAGAATGCTAATGTGGGCATTGATTCTGTTCAGTGCAGTACACATTGTACTCAGAAGCTTCTAGTAAAGGAGGAAGGACAGAAAGAGGCACTGAACATGACTGTACATTTAAAGATGCCTCTAGGCTGGAGCTTGAATGAAAATAGATTTAGTGTCTGCTCACACGTTGATCAGGGTTTGTATCTTACGTCGGCAGCCACGCTGGGCTGATGTGCTGCCAGTGAAGCCACAGACACGTCTGGAGGGGCGGTCCTTTGCACAAGTCCTGGAGCTCCCAGATTCTGGGAAAGGTCCACTTGCAGACTTGAGAGCAGGCAGCCCCCAGATCCACAAAACACCCACACTGCTCCCAGTGGCAGCTGAAGCCAGCTTGGCCCAACCCAAGAAACTCGAGAGGGCCATGGTGTGAGGTCCCTGCTGTCTGAAAACTGGTTGACTGTGGCTTGGATTTATACAAACAAAAACGACAGTTTCCTCCTCTATCCCCCACCAGTCCACCAGATTAGAGAACAGCATGGAGGACAATTTAGGAAAATGGACCTGGAAAGACTTTAAGCACATCTTAGGCTCAGAGACTGCAGCCACAGAAACAATCTGCTGGCGAAATCATGACAGGTGTGTGTATACAGCCGCCCACAGAGATGTTCTTTGTAAGCATTTAGTGAAAACTCAGAGTTGGCCTGACCAACATGACCCATGTTGTGCTGGGCAGGGGGCTGTCCTGGGACTCAGTTTCTCCACCTGCAACTCTGCATGGCCATTGTGGGTTTGAACCACTCAGTGCTGGGGAAAGAACGGGAAGGACGCTGGCCACATGAGATGCGCGGTGAGCTGAGCGGTGGTCACCAAGTCTGCCAGGCTGAGTCACACAGTCACCGACGGCCTGTGGGATGGAAAGATGCTCACAGGAGTGGGAATGGTGAAGCTGGGAGGTGCCACCCGGTCCCAGTTTTACAAAAAATATGTGTGTGCAGGTTCACATATACTATGGAAATATAGGTAAAATACAAACACCAGAAGACTAAACTATATGGTATCAGCAGCCATTCTCTTTGGATATGAGAAAAGAAATGGTTGAACCTTAGATTTTACCACATTTTCCAAATGTTAACTATGGAAATAAATCTATATTCATTTATTAGTTAGAAAAGCTCTTTAAAAGCAATATCTGCTCAACTCACCTCTATGTCCGAATCTGAAATGGTGGGCTTGGACACTGAGAATTGTTTATGGGGAGAGAATTCTGCTCCTGTATCAGTAGAAAAATAAACCACCTCGTTAATATCTAGAGATGCCTTTGAATTAAAGACAGGAAAGCGAGCGTGTTGGAGACAAAGCTGGAACCTGCCACCCAGAGAGCCAGGTGGGGCTTGGTCTCTGTGTCCCTGACCTTGACATGTGTCCAGCATGTGTTCACACCCTTCAGGGTCCTGTGGCCTCTGGGGCAGCAATACAGGGGAAGCTCCTGCGCCGTGTAGTGGGGACTGTGGCCTCTGCTGACGGGTCTTAAAGGAACACAAGGGGCTTTGGGAATGGAGGGAGGAAGGGGAAATCAAAAGGACCAGGGCTGCTGTGTAAATGTACCGGTGCTCCACAGTGAGTGTGGTTGTTACGTATCACAAACCACACTAAGAAAAGTATGCATTCACAAAGCATTGTCCAGGGCCTGGGAAAGCGTCCTGTGAATACTTCCTGTCCCTTGAAATTCAGTCTGCAGTGTTCAAGCTGCTTAAGGCTATATCTTTATTGAAGAGAAAAACTGGAGTGGATCCTACAGCTTGGAAATTCTAGTGGATTTTCTGTATGCGGATCACACAGGATGGCCTACCTGTATCTCGGTTCCCTACTTAGGATGAGCCAACAGTGAGCAGAGTGAGGAACAGGGAAGCGGAGTGCAAACAGGAATTTTGCAAAATCAGCTTCCGATTGTCTTAATCCTTGTTAGATGTGGCTCTTAAATAGAAAAGGTAAAGATAGGTTTTTCTCTCCTCTTCACTTGTGCTAAATAATCATGTTCTTAATTTGTGGCCACAGGAAGAAACTATGGAGAGCTGGATCAGAGAGAGGATTCGATGAGTTTGTAGAGGAATCATTTGATAAAGCCCACGACACCCCACCACTGTACGGATGCTCCAGCGGGTACAGACCCCTATCCTTTTCCACGACAGAAGTCCCTTTGCTTTGGAAGGTGCCCTGTTCTAGTCAGGCTCAGGAAAGTTTCCACATCAACTCTTAATTTTTCTAGACTTTAATGAGCAGAGGTTGAACATTAGTTTACATATTTAATCTCCTTATTGTTTACATATATTTACTTTGCAACTATCTTTATAGAAGTAATAGATGTTCCACAATTCCCCCTGGGATTGGTTCTGCTCCAACACGATTCCCTTGGTCCCAACTGTCCTGGGCTGGGCCTGTCAGGGACACCTGGGCAGTCAGTACCCTGATTCAGTCCTCTTGTCTTTGGTTTGCACATTCTCAACTCCTGTGGTTTTCTTCCCAGTCCCGACTGCTTCTCCAGGGCTCTGCCTCGCCATTAGAAACCTCCCTCCCTCTGCTACGCTCCGTTGCCACTTGTGTGGCGGTGTCTCCCCTCGTGACTTCTGGTCCCCATCCTTCCCATTGTCTGCATCTGTCTTGTCCAGTGCTTGTCTCCACCTGGATCCCGCCAGTGTCCGAACCCTTGTCATCTGAATTGGAGCCCGTCCTCGCGCATCATTCTTCTCAGTCCCACTTTCCTTATTTCTCCGCCGTGCACATCAACGTGAAAATCCTCTACTTCTCAGACGGCTGCTGGTTCCATTCCTTATTGTAGTATCTTCGCTGAGTGCTTGCAGTAACCAGGCTGAGGACCCGAGTCCCTGCTTCTGCAGCTCGCACTTGCCAGTGTAACTCAATAGCAGCTTCTTCAGTGTGAGAAGTGTTTTCCTACCAGATCTACAGTCCTGTCATTTCATGGCTTAAAGTCTCTGCTTTCCCTCCTGACCCTCAGTCTCAGGAGCCAGCTCCTTGGCGCCCTCCCCTCCCCAGTTCCACTTGCTCTGTGCCCTGCTCCGTGCCGTTCTGCACGCCAGGAGCTTTCTGCTGCTGATCTCTGACTCACTTTTCCTTTCTGCTCAGACTCCCCTCGCAATCCAACTGTGTGTCCAGATTCTCCTGGTAGTCAACAGCTCAAAAGGCCTTTCCAGAAACTACTCTTGGTCGTCTTCATACCGGGTCCCGGGGAGTCTCAGGATGCCTCCTGTTGCTTACCAGTGTCTTCCTGATGTCGGGAGCACCTCTGCATCTACTCAGGAGAGGAGTCCACATCCTGCTGCTGCTTGCTTTCTCCACCCAAGAACCTCCTCGGTGAGTGTCTTGGAGAGAAGGGTAGGCTTTTTGTGCACTGAGCCCTCAGCCCTTCCATGGGGAAAACTTTAATAAATAGCAAGAACCTATAGAGTGTGGCCATGTAGAGTGGCTTCTGCTGTCTCTAACAGCAGTTTGCTTTGTTCAGCTCAGAACTAATAGGCACTGAAGGAGCTAGTTGCTGAATGAGGCATTTGGTCTTCCCTGAGATAACCGGGCACATCAAGTCTTGAGCTCCGAAGAGACTGGAGCCACATGATCGTAAGAGTGTCTAGATGAAAAGGCCCACTGCTAACATTTGCTCCCCTGACCCTAAACACCACTTTTCCTAGGGGCTAGGATAGATACTAGGCTAATCTTTTTTTGTTTTGTTTTTGTTTGTTTTTTTGAGACAGGGTCTCACTATGTAGTTGAGACTGACCTGGAACTCACTATGTAGCCCAGGCTGGTCTCAAACTCACAGTGATCCTCCTGCCTCAGCCTCCCGAGTGCTGGGATTACGGGCATGCGCCACCACTCCTGGCTATAACTAGGCGAATCCTAAAGGTAAACTCCCAACAGCAAAGAATTGTTGCGTCTGTGTTGAAAAGATTAACAATTCTATGACCATGATTTGAACTGTGAGAATGAACTGTAACCACCTAAATGAAGCCAAGGCTGTGAAACCCTATAAAAGGAGGAGTTGTAACCCAGTGCGTCATCGATCCAGGCACGGCTAATGTGAGATTGACCCTTATCGATGAGTAAGTTTGTTATTTTACTTCCATTCTGCTGCCTCTCTGTGTGTCACTGACTGATTCCTTCTGTAACACCGCGAGCCTTCCGAGCCTTACGATCAGGTCGTCATGAACAACAGCAGTGTAGCAAACAGTCTGAGGGTGTTTGTTCTGTTTGAGAAGATGTGTTGTGTATCCATATTAGGGCTGTGGACTCTATAACACTGACATCTTCCATCCACTGCCTCTCTGGTATCTTAAATGAGAAAAGTTGGTAAATGTGCCTTCTCCCTAGTGGGCAGCACGGCCTGCATGGCCTTGGCTTTGCTTTTGGTGTTCCGTGGCTGATCTCCATCTCTGCCCCACCTTATCCGCCAATGCTGGGTGCTGATCAAGACCACGACCTTTAATCGTGCATGATTCACAAGAGGAATAGAGACTGCGGTTCACACGACTGTCTGTGGCCTGATAGTCCTTTAATGAGGGATGTGGGAGGCTTGAGGGGACACAATTAACAGTTAAAAGAAGACGATTTGACTTGGTGACTTAATGAGCTTAGCGGAGCCCTTGCTCTGAGCATTGTTGCAGAGATGATGTGAACGGGAGGAGAGAATTTGCTGGCACCTGAATCTATTAATCCCCTGAGCCCCGTCAGAGTCCCATCAACACAGCACTCCGCTCAGCTCAGGGACCAAGCTGCCGAGGTCAAGGACTGTGACCACACTGCAGGGAAGACCACAGCAGAGGTCTGCTGTGTGCGACTGCCATGGTTTCCTTCCTCGGCAGGCTGCTGTCATCACCCCCAAGCCGGCTGAGCAGTGTGTGGCCAGCACAAGCCCGGTGCCTTCACATGAAGAAATTAATGCATGAATGGTGAGAACAAAATAGCATTGCTGTTAGGAGACCAACAAGAGTAATGCTAGGGTCAAACCAAGGGATCCAAATGAGCAGTCATTGGTGGCTCCTTAGCAGGGGCTGACTCTCCCAAAGTGGGTTTTATGATGATCCCTTTTAAGTAGTAATAAAAAAGCGAACTGGAGGCCACAGGGCATAGAGACATTAAGGCTACACTAGGAAAGTCCAGGCACCAGGAATAAATAACACAGTGTGAATGTCTGTGCCCAGGAGCAGCACGCTCCCTCCCTCCCTCCTATGGCCAGGAGAGGCCGGGCCCAGGCAGTGGCTGGCATCAGGGTTTCTGCAGGCCAAGCATCTCCCACTTGGTGTCAGTCTGGAGTTGTGTCTCTGAGGAAAAGTTCAATATCCTGAGTGAGGGGAGCTGCCCCCTGCACAGCCCTCTTCTCCTGACACCATGGATCTCTCTTCCCAGCCCTGGTGGAGGAGGCTGGAGCACGTGGACGTGGTTATTCTTCTTCCTTCAGTCCAGCTGCGGGGGTGAGGCCAGAAGGAGCAGTCTCACCTCACTGGCCCAGAAGGGCCTGTGATGAGCCGGGCTGGAGCCCAGGGTGCAGAGCAGAGTGTAAAGCACTAATTGGCACCAGCGCAGTTCAGAGGTCCCCCCCCTGCCCTGGAAGTGATGTGCTCTGGCTGGATAAAATTAATGGGAAGGGTTCTGAAAATACAAAGTCCCTGACAAATACTTTAAGTGTCCTTGTGCTTTCTGCTTCATACACCAGGTGGTAGGAGACTGTTGTCTACTTGTTCCATGCCCTTTGGATGGGGAGAAGATGGGGCTGGAGCTTGCATCTGTGACAGAGGAGGGCTGGACCACAGAATCCCATCCTGCCCACACAAGACCCGGCTAAGGAGAGGGTAGATGGAACCGCATGTTGCCATGGACTCTTTCACTTCATCCAGAAGGATCTGAGGCTCTAAACACCCCAAATCTTGAGGCAGCCACTGGTTAAATGGAAATTTCCCAAGCATCCGTGTCCTTGAATTGCCACCTCTCAGGATAAATAGGCCACCGAGCAGTGCCTACATTCATTACATTCTCCCGACGCACTTCTTGTACCTTCTGATGTGATTACAAAGACCCAGACAGCATCTGGGGGCAGCCTCAGTCTGTGTCCTCCAAGAGCCCTTGGGTTGAACTTGGCTTCCATATGTATGCTCTATCCCAGGTGACGAGATCATGGGGCACATGATTTGAAGGTCGCATCTGAAGCCTTGCTGGTTGAATGGCAGCTGGTCTGAGTGGGAGGAGCCATGCCCGTCCCTGCAC